AAGAAGAAGAAGAAGATGTACACCAGCAAAGACAATGACAAGGCTCTTCTTCTTCGCCCAACAATCTCCTCCCTCTTATCTCCCCCTTCTCTTATTCATACAAGGAATAATAATACAATGTTGAATGACGGATCCAGAGTCAATGTACGAGTCCCTCTTCTACTGCAGGTATCACTCAAGGTCCACCATAGCCATGGCCGCCTCTCTCACTCTTCACTCTTATAGGCCGAGGCTATGGCGGACTACTGGGCACCGCTCAGATGCCCAAAGGACAACCCAAAGCAGCTATGGCTGCTCTAGCTCAGGCCGCCATGCCTGCCCCTACCCCGAAGCTTCTTGGTGTAGCTCTCCCCAGCTGGGGACTCCCTGCTGCAGCGCCCACCAAGGTGATGAAAATGGCTGCCACCATAGCCAGGTAAGTACCCCTGGAGCTCCTCCCCCTTCCTGCCTTCTTCCTCCTCCTTCGTCCCTCGTGTCCTTCTCCTTCCTCCCCAGCAGCGCTGCTCCGGCTTAGCGCTGCTCCAGCCAGCGCTCCATCAGCGTGTCGCCAAACTTGCACACCAAAAAAGAGGCTGGATTCTCCGCCTGGCCCGGAGATATAGCGGCCTGCTTTGCCTCTTGGGCGGTGACTTCCAGGCCGCTTGGCCTCCCAAGCCACCGGTACCTCCTTCTTTTTGGAGGGAAACATCATTGCAGACTCTGATATTGCCCATACAGGCCCTAGACTCAGACTGGTACCCACCTAGACCTAGCCTACACTACCGGCCTCTAAAAATGCCACTTTGGTCTTCTTCTGCCCGCCCTCCGGTACCTGCACATCTACCCCTTCCAGGTGCGGTACCGGCCTACCCGCTACTTGACTGCTTTTCCCCGCTGCAACCCCTCAATGTCACGGCCACAGGTAAGTACCGGCCCTGAGGGCCCAATGAACGAGCAAGTGCCCTGACGGGCCACACACATACTCATGCCAACCAGCACTCAGACAGGTACGGTCACACACACACCCAAGCCAACCAACACTCAGACAGACATGCAGTCCAGCAAGTGTGCACACACACACTCAGGCCAACCAGCACTCAGACAGACATGCAGTCCAGCAAGCGTGCACACACAGACTTAGTAGCAGGCGGGAAACTCAGCAAGGCATTCAGTCTATGAGCAAAACTCAGAAATCAGCTGTGTGTTTCAGTCCATGTTTGGACGGGTCCTCACAGAATTGCAACTCGAGTTCCACCAAACAATGAACCAATGTCGAATTCCTATCTGGCGCTCAGCGCCCAGACTACGAATGGCAGATCCTATCTAGCCTATCTATAATGTCGCTGGCGACGTCAACAGCTTCCCGAAGTACGAGCAGATCTCGGCCAATGCCGTTCGCCTCAAGCACCAGGTATGTCTCACGCCTGGACCGTCCCACGGAAGTGTCCGGTAGGCCCCAAGTGCCTGAGCCCCTGTCCCAGGGAATCTTCCTCAGGGCCTGGGGTGGTTACCCGTGTCCAACTGCCAGCGGCCTGTGTTCAGTCCGTGCCCCATGCCTGACCCAGGGCCTGCCTCGATACATTTGAAAAAGGCAGGCAGGGCCTGGGCTCACTCAACCAACTGGCACTGCGCAACTGCCTGAATTTCCCAGCTTCGTCCAACCCCAAAATAGGCCTCTTGTCCCTTGCCAGGCCCGCCTTCACTTAAGGCGGCCGTTCTGGCTGAAACAGGGCCCAGTAGGGCTTACCGAGGCCTTGAGCCTCGCATCTGGCCCACTATATGATAATTGCTAGCTTCACGGAGTATGTGCCAGGGAGAAGTGAAGAAAGAAAAAACAAAAGTTTCGTTTTTATAAAAAATAAATAAAACGTGGTCCTTTTGGCCCTGGCACCATTCCATTCTGGGGACCATCAGTCTAGTTCCTGTTCCACTGGCAAGTCGTATCATTACAACATTTACACCTCACTTTTCCTTCCATTTGGCTGAAGGACCCCTGACCAGCATTGATTACTCCTTCATTGGAGGATTGACTGTCAGCTTGCCATTCCGTTCTCACTCCTCTCACACCCTTCCTGAAAGTATGCCAGATAGAGCTGTACGTGCAAGAGTGAGTTCGGCTGTCTCCATCAGTCGGCTTCAAGTTGTCGTCTTTAACCGGATTGCTACAGCCTGTATCTTATGTCCAAATGGAATCCTGGGACTCGGGATGTTGGCTGTCTTGTCTTGCCGTGGAAGGGTTCGAGTTGTGCCAGTCTACTTCCCATTTCATGTCCACTCCGTCTATCGTAGCCACCTGGAACTTAGTTTTTTGTAGCCTGATTTTGGGTCAGCCTGGATTAGTGAAAGGCCTTCCACGTTTCAGACCCCAAATTCGGATCTCAGGGTCAGACGCCCAGCCCAAGAAAAGGCCGAACTCGTCAAACTCAGAAAAGTCACAATCGGTGACCTTAGCAGTCTGGTCCAATAGGCACCCAGCAAACAGTCACGTCTCAGGGACAAGAGTCACGTCTCATAATAAAAACCCTTCAGAAGAGTCACATTCCACAAGTGAAAAGGCAGATTCACCAAGCAAGAGTCATGTCTCAAGACAGGAGTCACGTTTCCTAATGAAAAGTCATATTTACGAGACACATCCCACGAGTAAAAGGTAGTATCACAGGCAAAAGTCGTGACCCTCAGGCAAGAGACACTGTCCACAGTCAAAAGTCATGTTCACAAGTGAAAAGTCATGACTCAAGGGCCCAAGCAGCAGCAGTCCAATGGAAATTCGGGAAGGTTCCAGGCCTTGACATTCAGTAGCAGACAGGCCGTATGGGATGTGGTACCGGAACCAGACAGGACCCAAGAAACAGAGGCTGGCACGAGTTGAAGTGCAAACCAAGACTACAAAAGGACTGGCCAGCCTCACATTCGAGCAGATTGCTCATTTGCAAGAAGTGTGGAAGTGCTGGTGCACTTGTGCGCTGAAGTGAGGAGCAGAGCGCTGAGGCCAGAGTGCTGCGCTAAGTGAGGGAGAGAGAGGAAGATGGCGCTGGCAGGGAGAAGGCAGCCATAGCTGCGCCAGTGCAGAAGTGTTAGTGCTAGTTGTTAGTAGTAGACTCCAGAGGGGTTAGTAGGGTTGCCAGTGGGTGTATTCAGAGTAGAACCATGAAGTAGTAGATAGTGAGTGTGAATGCATGTAGAGAGAGAAGACACAGCGAGGTCATAGCTAGGGAGAAGACCAGCAAGGTGGAGAGAAACATAAGAGGGAAGAGCAGAGGGGAAGAGATACTTACCTGAGAGTTTATGCTGATTATTGGTTACCTATTGGCACGCGCTGATGAGCGCTGGTGACTTGAACTCTTATTGCTCTTGTAATACTTTCTGGAAAAGATAAGCTGCGCTACCTGGTTTTCATCTCTCTGGTCTCCAGTGTGAATTTCGTGTGAACTCAGAGATGCATGTGGTGTGAATATGTGCACTCATTGGTGTTGAACTAGGAGGTTCGTTGCATTAGCAGTTTCACCTTGCACCATTTGCACAGGATGTCTGCCTCGATGAGATTCTTGGTTGCTACCTTTTCTCGGGGATTCCTTGCCTTGTCGAGTGTGACGCTGCACCTTTCTCTCTTTCCGGAATGCCCATAGCGTCGCCCCCCGTATCAAGTCATACCATATATGTTCAGGCTTGCTAAAATCAGAGAGGATGTCAGTCCAAAGCAATATCTGGATGGGGTGTTCTGGCAGGAGGGAGGGGGATTATCTACTCCACAGGTTAGCTGCTCTGGCCTAGTACTCAGTTGCTTCCTTACATCGAAGTAATGAGGAAGCAACTGAGTGAAGCATGTCTTCATGTTCTTCATCTGAGAAGACTAAGCAGCAGTCAGAGCCGTTAGGATCATTCGTTTTTCCTTCTTATGTGGAGCGATTGGTTGACGGGCAGGGCTGCATGTATTTCTTCCAGGGAGGGTATCTTGGCTTCATCCCCAATCGGTCGTGTCCATCTTCTGTTAATTATGGGTGATGGGTCTTCTGTCTTCAGTAGCATTCTGCAGCATATTCTCACCATGTACTCGGTTATAGGGATGGAGTTTATCTTTTTCAAATTCGCAGGAGGCCTCCAGCACCATTTTTTAATGGGGTCAAACTCCAAATTGGGTTGTGTAACGGTTCCCATTGGGAAGATTAATTTCAGTCCTAGTCCCAGGGTCCGTATTTTATTTAGGAGGAAGGCTTCCATTATTTCAGTGTTGAGTTCTGGGTTGTTGATTTTTGGGGCACCTAGTTTTGAATGGTCAATGGGGAAGGATGTGAAAACTGCTTGGTAATTGTTAGGTCCCAGACTATGGGCGAACTGCTAAGCTCTCTTTGGCACTACTTCTTGCTTGAGAAGTTGAGAATACCCCAATCTCCTGCATGCAAAGTCCTCCTTGAGCCAGTCAACCCAGAATGAAAGGCCTTCCACGATTC